CAGAGGGGCCTGCTGTTGCTGGGCGTCCGTCCACCGGGCGGTGCTTCGGTGGCGGGCGCGGCCGGCTCCTGGGCGGGAGGTCGTCTCGGGGGCTGGCCGGGGGAGCGGGCGCGCAGCTGTTCGGGTGGTCTCGGGTACAGCCAGGACCCCAGGTAAGGGGACCCGGTCAGTAGTAGGGCCCCGGAGCCCCTGAATTGGCCAGAGTCACTAGACCAGGTCTGCCGCAGCCGGTGCTTTTTCGGGTGACGGCAGATGCGGTTAGTGGAGCGGGGCGGAGGGGCGTCCCCCCGTACACAGCCTTAAACCAGGTCCCACGAAACCCAGTTCGGCCAACGCCCGATCGGGGGCTGGCCGGGGGGACGGGTGCGCAGCTGTTCGGGTGATCGTTCGAGCGATCTGCTGGTCACGGGACCTCGCAAACGGGGGGGACCACAGGGGGGGGTGAGTTCGGTCCGTGGGCGCACCGAGCCGCGGGAACAGGATGCAAAACGAGGTCTCTGGCCGCCTCCAGAACCCGAGAGGTGTCGACAATCGGGGCGCGCGGGGGGCATCGTTGTTCGGAAATTCGATGCACCAGCGGATCGAACTCACCCCCCCCCTCAGGGTCCCCCCCTTTTGGTGGACCCCGATGGTCACCTTCAGGCGTCAGGAAGATTTCAGAAGGGAAAGACACACAGGCACAATGAATAGTCGATTGCCAGAAGAATATACGAAACTATGGGAAGTGGGGGGGAAGACGAAACTCCCAAAAATATGGAACAATACAGGGATTCTTGGGATTTGTGTGTATTTATGTGTGTGTCCATGGGCCCCTTCAAGATTGGCCGAGTTGACGACCTCGAGTGGAATTGGAAGTGAAGCACGCATGGCACTCGAATGACTGGTCTGTCAACTCATTGCCAGCAGGTGGCATCGCGGACACAGGGTGGCACAGCGTCAAGACTAGCAGGTGGCGTCGCGTAAACAGATGGCTCATACAGCGGAAACGCCAGAAGGCAGTATTACTATTACGTTAGCGAGGCGCCCCCTATTTCGGCGCTCCCCTCTGTCAATAGTTCAGCTCGCGCGCGTGTCTGGGGTCGACGGCCATGCGATGCAGCAGAACCGATCCTTCTATCATTCCGACGTGTCCCTCCTCCAGGCCAGGGGTGGACCTAAACGGTATTTTGGCAATTTCGTGGGCCGTTTTCGTTTCGATGTCGTTTTACAACGAAGGCGAATTCAAGACAAAACGACGGAACGTGACAACAAAACGAAAACGAGAAACACTGTTTAGGTCCAGCCCTCCTCCAGGCAGCGCCCCTCGTTGCATCGGCCCCGCTGCTCGCCGAGGTCGCTGATGGAGCTCTCCGTCCCGGAGGGCGGGCCGCGGTTCGCCCTCTTCGACCTGCACCGGCCGAAGGAGACAGCGCCGCCCTGCGGGGCGGCGGATGCGGCGGCGGGGACTGCAGTCGGACCGAAGTATAAGATCGAGGTCGGTTCGGAGAGGGTACCCTAGTGTTCTTGTCGGACCAGACGAAAGGGGGGGGGGATAGGGAAAGGGGGGGGGGTAAGAAATCTGCTGCGTGCACCTGGTTTCAGCCCCACCGAGGGGCCCACTCCTCGATACATGGCCGCCTCTGGCCGGGAAAATCAATTACGTGAGCTAATTTTCAAACCCCCACTCTGCTACCCCCAACTTTCGCCCAGCCCGATCTTTGTGTTTGTTTCATGTTCTTGTGCACCCTGGGGAGGGTACCCTTGGATGCTCTGTCTGTTTTGGCCGACGGAGGATCTCATGTTCTTGAGGGGTTTTCTTCTGGCCCAGGTCCGACTGGACGGCGGCACGGGTCAGTATCGTTTGTGCGACCTTTTATCCCCATCCCCGTCCCCATCCAGAGCCCCACCATCTCGGCGTCCCAGTTGAGGATATACCCCTCGAAATCCAGAGGAAGTGACCCATATCCCCCATTTGGGGGTGCAGATCGGCCTGCGCCCAGGCCACGCCCATGGGGACAGGGGTCGGTCAAACGATGCTCAGGGGGGTCGGTTCAACGATGCTCAGCTGATTGTGAGGGTCAGCGGAGGGCGCCAGCTGTGTACCCTACACCAGTCATGGCCAGGCCTCTCCCGGGCCCAGAGTAGAGTCGGAGCCGGGAGGGCGTATATGTATCGATCCTGGGCCCGGGATGTGCGTGTCAACAGTCGTCGTGCAGCTGGCACGAGGGTTAAGAACAATCGTTGTTTTGGAAGGCCACCCTTATGTTCTTCGCCGTTGGGCTCTCCACCCTGGAATGCTCTTTGTTCTGGATGTCTCCGTAGGGTCTTGGGCTCTCGGCGAAGGGGCCCGTGTTCTTGATCCACGTTTTTGTGACCTTCTTCCGAGCCCAGGACAGCGAGAGCGAAGAAGTGGTGAGTGCGGTGGCGACCACAACGACCGTGCTTGCGATGATGGCGGCAGCCAACGTGACACAGGAATGGCGACTAGACATGAAGGTGGCACAATTGAGGCTCACACCACCTAGCTCACGCCACACGATTGAAACCACAGGCTACATGACATAACTGTCAAAGCATAGCGTGCGACATACATCTTCCACAACATAGCCCCACATAGCTGACACGAGGTAGAGCGCACCACATACATAGCCTATACCACTTCGCTTACATGACATAGTTTGCACCATCTAGCTTTCAATTGCAGCACCTAGCTTGCACCAAACAGCTTACACTGCATAGCTTACACCGTAGACCTTGCACTACATAGTTTGCACCACATAGCTCGCACCACACAGCTTGCACCACGTGGCTTGCATTAAGTCGGGCGTGTCCCACTACAGGGGGCTTTTCGACGAAACATATAAAATACCAAACATACCCCCAAAAGGTCAAACAATACTCAAACAATAGTCCCCTGATTATTTTTGGAATATGTTTGGACTATTTTGGGGGTATTTTTTTATGTTTCATCGAAAATGCCCCTGTAGGGGGACAGGCCCGATTTAAGGCTTGCACCGGCCAGCTTACACCACATAACATCCAGCTGGCGAACATACCGTTGGCCGTCTGGGATGAACTCATCGATATCCATTGGTCTCGGCAATTGTGATGGATGGGTTGAGTACGCAGGTGGGTCATCATCCATGTGGCCGCGACACCGATCATTCTGACTAAGCACTGCCAGTTTGTCCAATCAAGGTGGTAATCCGTAGCTGGCCCCCTGGCTCACCAGCACCTCTCCATCATGCCACTCGACCAAATGTGCGAGCTTACTAGATCCTGAATATGTCTGCAGATCGGCTTCACAATCACGGCATGTATTAAGTCAGGAGGAAAAAAAACACACAGACACAATTAATCGTCGATTCCGAAGAAAATATGGGAAAATATTGGAATTGGGCGGGAAGACAAAAACCCAGAAACTATAGGAACATACGGGGAATCTTTTTATTTGTGTGTATTTATTTGTGTGTCCCAGGGCCCCTTCATTAAGGCGCGACCCGCTTGTCGCAAGCGGAAGAGCCTGATCACAATTGGTCATGATCGGTTTTCTTGGTCGCCGATCTGCCTTTTGCGGTTGCAATTGGTCGCGCTCGTACCGCGAGGGGTATGGATGAGCAGGAGGAGCGGAGGGGGGAGGAGGAGAGGGGGTGAAGAGGTGGGGGGGCGATGAGAAGGAGTACCAGAAGGGAAGACGGCGAAGGTGGGTGGAGGAAGAGGCGGGCGGACGAGAAGGGTAGAGGGAGGATATGGCGGGGATTGAGGAGAAGGATGAGAGGGAGGAAGACGGCGACGATGAGAATGAGGAGTAGGATCAGGAGGAAGAGGAGGAGAGTGAGGGACGCAGGGAACGAGGAGAGCGAGAGAGTTAGATAATGAGAAAGGGAGAGGGGTAGTTGCGGATGTGCCGACGACGACAAGGGAGTGAGCGTGTGTGTGTGTGTGTGTGTGCGTGTATGTGTGTGTGTGTGTGTTTGTGTGTGTGTGTGTGTGCGTGGAGCTAGCGGCGGAGAAGAATCGGAACGGGGGGGGTCGGAGAGGACAGCGGACGATGAGGAGGAGGACTCGTCGGCCAGGTCGCGGTCTTCGCTGCGTTCCCTGGAGTTCTCGGCCCGTGGTCCCCTCGTGGTGCCGCGTGCTGTGTCTGGGACTTCGCTGGGGTCGTGTTGCCGATCTTGCGTGGTGCGGTCTTGCTGCAGGTGGCAGGCCGCTCTCCTGGCGCTGCGGGCCAGATCGGCCCGACAGCATGATGTCGAAGGGGAGGAGGACGACGGACGGGGAGAGATGATGATCACATTGTGCAGGGGGACGCCAGACATCCGACGTCGTGATTTGTACATTCCGGACCGAGGTGTAAGATCGAGATCGGTTCGGGGAGGGTCCCCATTGCGTGCTCCGTGATTTGTTGGACGTTATTGTGCACCCTGGGAGAGGGCACCCTCGAATGATCTAAGAGTTTGGGGTGCTTCGGCCGGCGGCGAGCTGCATGTTCGCGGATGCTGCTCCTCTGGCCTTAGTCCCACTGTACATCGTGATTCCCCCGAGGTCGGGCCCCTGTCCTGGGACCGGCTTCTCGTTCCGCCTTTTTTTTCTGGTGTGTGTGTGTGTGTGTGTGTGTGTGTGTGTGTGTGTGTGTGTGTGTGTGTGTGTGTGTGTGTCGTGTGGTGTGGTGTGTGGTGGTCTGTGTGTGTGTGTGTGTGTGTGAGTGTGTGTTGTGGTGTGTGTGTGTGGGTGTGTGTGTGTGGTGTTGTGTGGGGGGGGGGGCGGGGGGGGGAGGGTGGGGGGGTGGGGGGGAAGGGGGGGGGGGGGAGGGGGGGGGGGGTTGTGGGTGGGTGGAGTGGTGGTGGGTGGTGCGTTGGGTGGGTGTGTGGGGGGGTGGTTGGGTGTGTGTGGGGGGTGGGTGGGGGCGGCCCTGGCCCCCAGCGAATCCCCCCCCCCCCCTCCTTGGAGCCGAGCGTGGCACCCGAAGGGCCGCCCAACCGTGGTTTCTTACCCAGCGAGGGCAGTGGGCTCCTCCCCCTCGACCCTTTCTCCTCCTCCTCCTCCTCCTCAGCCTCCTCCTCCCTCCGCTCCTCCTTCACTCCTCCTCCCTCCTCCTCCTCCTCCTCCTCCTACTCCCTCTGTCTCCTCCTCCTCCTCCTCCCTACTCTCCTCATCCTCCTCCTCCCAGTTCTTCTCCTCCTCTTCCTCCTCCTCTCTTCCTTCCCTATCCTCCTCCTGACCTCCTTCCTCCTCCTCCTCCTCCTCCCCGCATCCCCGCCTACTGCCTCATCCACCCCCTCCCCCTCCCCCGCCTCCTCCTCCACATTCTCCCTCCCCCCTGGGGGGGGGGGGGAGGGCGGCGGCGGCGGCGGCGGCGGCTGGCCCCCCCACAAAGGTCCGAAGCGGCGGCCGAACCGCCTCGGGAGGGAAGGGGCAGAGCCCCCTCTCCTCAGGAGAAGCCGGAGGGGCAGGGAGGAAAGACACAAGAGGGGAAGGGAGAGAAGAGAAGGGGGAGAGGACAGACGATGAGAGGCGCGCGCAGCGGCGACGAGGCGGCGACGAGACCGACGACCGCCGCGCCCGGCGCCGCGCGGCACTCGCACGCGCGAGGGGCGCCAGCGGCAGCCCCGTGCACGCACGGGGGATGCCATGGCACGGCCCGTTTCGAATGGGCTCCTTCCTTGCACCAGAAGGGCGAGGCCAAACAGTGAACCGCAAGCGGCAACGGCGCGGAAGACGGACGTGGGAGCGGGGGTTGTTGCCACGCGACGGCCACGCGCCACCCCAGGCAGCGCGCGTCCACCTGAGGAAATGCCCCCCGATGGGGGGGGAGGAGCCGGAAGGCCGGAGGAGCGGGAAGGGCGAGGGAGCGAGGGGGACGAAGCGGCGCGAAGGAGGCAGCACGAGGAACTGTTCCTCGCCACAAGCGGGCACCTTTCTGGATTTTTATTTCAGCACAACTAACACAACCTGAGTTCAAACACGCGAACCTCCGATGAGAAGGGAGGGGAGGCGGCGGCAGCAAGGTGCCTAGCAGGCAGGCGTAGTTCAGGTCATGGGGCGCAAGCTGGAGACACCCAGCACGAGGAAACTGAACCACCCGCGGCAATCGACACCTTTGGAAGCCACGCCAGCGACCCACACAAGGAGCCCGCACTCGACGCGGCAATCGCAGCACAACGGGCACCCTCACACGATCCACACAATGAAGTTAGACTCCATGCATTACTCGCCACGCTGCCCAAAAGGAGGAGGAGGAGGAGGAGGAGGAGGAGGAGGAGACAGAGGAGGAGACGGAGGAGGAGACAGATGAGGAGACAGAAGAGGATGAGGAAAAGCAGGAGGAGGAGGAGGAAATAGAGGAGGAGGAGGAGGACAAGGAAAAGGAGGAGGAGGAGCTGGCGCGCTCCGCGCGCCACGGAAGGGGGTCCATCGCGAATTCAAGAAACCCGCGCGGAGCGCTAAAAGTTCATGCTTATATGTGGTTGTTTCTTCTTCTGAATTCTCCATTCCACAGAGTCCTTCCATGTGCTTTGCCTCCATGGATCCTTGGATGGGGGGGGAGGAAGGGGGGGGGGGGGCGGCCGAGGAGGACGAGGGAGGACAGCTCGGGCACGAGCAGGAGGGGGGTCTCGGGGAGGGGGGATGGCTTCTTAGAAGCACCCCTACTTCTTAGGAGGCGCGGGCCGTGCTTGCACATGTAGCAGGACCAGCGCCTTCTGAGAACCAGCCTCCTTGTAAGATTAAGTCAGGCCTGTCCCTCTACAGGACGAATATCTAAAAATATTCAAAATAGTCTGGGGACGATTTTTGTTGGTATATTTTTATTATT